TAGATCGTCAGCTAACATGACGGATGACTTCGGGCCACACATCTCCCAAATTGTGTCATTTTACACAGTAACAGCACAAGAGGCGACTAACGGGATTGGGTGGTCAGACTCGGTGACTTGGTTGATGCATGTCATCGAATCCGAATTGCGTAGATCGATGATCATGATATCAATACTTGGATTGTCTGGTCCAGAACCGATCATTTACATAACGCCGTCACATAGCTGAAGTATTGCCGAGTGCGGCGTTAAACAAACAAACAACATTCCTTTGGTTCTCTGAAAATCGCCCAAGGTCTTAGGGTGACAACACCTTCCTGATCTGCGACTGTGTTGGTATTTATTTGACCAACGTCGTTGTATTTGCGTGGTATTTGTCATTTTAATTGATTCTGTTTTAGCATCACACTAAGTGACCAATAACTGACACCCTTTTATTAAAGTAGATACCCTCACTGTTTGCGTCTTAAGTTGAATAGGTGGTTAATGAGAGGTGCAATCGTGAAATATATCGACCTGTAATATGATGTACACCAACAGCGCATATCGCCCGCTGCTATCAACATAGCATTCACATCTGCATCAACCTCCTAACGTCAAGCGAAACAAAAGATTACAAATGTCGAACGTGATAATTTATGTTTGGCATAATCGAGGTATAGAGAATTTTACAAACCCTCAAATGAAAGTGAAAATCATCTATATACTCTTTAAAATAGTATAAAGTCAAAGTGTGATAAATTAATATCATAGGGTAAAGTACACAATTCGGATGCCTGTAGAGTATATTTGGGACTTTTATTGGGATGGAAGAATATATTATTAGCGATGCAAATTTGATTATTCTTTCACACTGTATAACACATTTAACTACATTATTTCATTGTAAACGTAGGAGAGTACAACATGCTATATCTTGGCAACATCACTAGATATGTAAGATCACTAACATCACGACAGTATTGCAATCATTCACCAGACATCAAACAAAGCAGGGCAGGTGCACCAATTACGCGGAGTTGTTGGCTTCTTTGTAGATGTACCAGCAAGTTGCGTCATGCCAAGTCCTGCCTGTCACGAGTAACATATCTGGGTGTGACAGACACATGTGCACTCGTCTATGACTTGGTGTTATGATTCAAAAGACTAATAGAGATACTGATCCGCTGGGAATCATTGCTGGTACTATTATCAGTGGACATAGTTAGTGTCTTAGTCTTATATCTCCCTATGATCTGTCTCCCTCGTAGTTGACACTGTTGCCCTTGGTTGTATTGCATATTCTCCACGGTGGTATGCCGTCATCTGATCGACGCATGCATGTGACCTGCACAAACAATTGTTTCTTCATATTCATGATTCGTAAACACTATTGAACATGTCGCTTCATGATTAATGTCGTTGAATTTAGATTTACGATCCAACGCGGCATTAACACAAACTCATTCCCCTATCAATTGATATCAGTAAATATTTTAAGGTTAGAGCTAAGTAAAATGCCATCCCATGTCCAAATGCTTAATACTGAAATTGTCGAGATCATGTTACTGTTATGTTCAGGCCATGTGACACAACATTTCGGTGCTATGGAGACGGGCGTTACAAATAGGGGGACGCACTGATCTCTTTCGCAGTGTCTCCCCGTCCAGACGAAGAAACCGTTCTCAGGCAAACATTACAAGTTATGTTTAAATTTGGCATGATGGTGCTTCTTCTGGGTAAGTTGTTTATTTGCTTTGGTATCTAACATTTACGTCATTTACTTAACATGATATCCATTTGGAGTTATGAATAATATAAGTGACAGTAATCAGACAAATTCTAGTGTTCCCAGCAATTTTAGGCAGTTTAATGACGAACTGTGTTCGATTTTGTACACTCGATGTTCCAATGTTAAACAAAAATATTTATCAGTTGTTTTATTCATACCTTAGTCGTTGCGAGGCGTGATATCGAAGTATATTTTATGACTATCATGAATACTAGAAATTAAGTCTGATTCATAGATGTTTGGAGACGTTATATATTTCAGGTAAATGTACATTATTTACTACAAATAGTCTGTTAGTGTGTTGGAAAGTCGGTTGTTTTATATACTGCCATCGCTACGTGCCCAGTGGGTTCTTAAAACATTTTCAACAATGAAATGAAAATTCTAGAAATAGCATAATATACCTTCAAAGCATGACACAAATTGTGATTTAAATTTCGGAAAGATGAACAGACACATTGTACATGTAGTTGTAGTGGTGAGCGAGTGCCTTTTGATGATTTGAAATTTTTTATTAAATTTTTGTATAATTTTAGTTGTTTTCACGACGATTAGACCGAAACTACAAATTGGGGAAGTGCTCGTTTCCGGACCGGAACTCAAAACCTGTTGAATATTTCCTGAATGTTTGGTTGATTGTTTGTTGTTTAACGCCGTACTCAGCAATATTCCAGCTGTATGACGGCGGTCTGTAAAAAATCGAGTCTATACCACACAATCAATTGATTGACATCATGAACAACGCTGATTTGGTTGATGCTATCATCGGATCCCATTTGCGTTGATCGTTGCTCATGTCAATCACAGGATTGTCTGGTCCAGACTCGATTATAATCATGGACGATTGCAATGACCATTATCCTCTATGGGGGTGTACTGATACCAATAATAAGGGAATAGTTATCGAAAATTTTACCTTTAAACACTGGTATTTTTGCATTTTCTATGATGCGTATAATACTTTTATGCATCCTTCCACTGGAACATACTATGTCCTTTATCTTTTTCTCATAAATCAAAATCTTTGAAACGCGTTTAAATTGTAAATGGCTGATATCAATACTTCTGGATATCAATCTCGCTGATGAACCACCTTCATCAAGGTACAATCTTGGCCTTTATTACAAACTGTACATTATGTACTGAAAAACTAAACTCTGTCCCTCTCAGCAATGTTCCTGAACCCATACTACTATTTTCGGGTCAATTACATGTATACGAAATCATTCGAGTCCTGTGCAAGCCCTCAAATAATGGTTTGACATAGATAAGCTAAAGAAAGGTGGAAAAAACGAGAAAGATTCACTCTCAGCTCCGGGTACACTGGTACGATTCTTGTTTGGAAACGCTACTCAATATATTTGATATATATATTTGAAATAAGGACAACTAGAATTGTTTCTCCTTTGATGCATCATGCTATTATCATTCCTGTACAAAAGCATACTGATCCGTCCAATTACCGCCGTCTATCTATGACTAGATGTGGTCGTAAAACCATGGAACGCATGGTCACCACTCGGTTAGTCTGGTACTGGAGATAACCTCTTTAGTAACAAGAAAAAGACATAAGAACTAAGTCTTTGAATGGCTTATAGTACCATTGACCCTTTGGTGCGCTTAAGATCATTTTAAAAATCCATTGCCAGCAGACAACATGCTTTGTCATTTTGTTTTCGACTGAGAGAAGGTATACGAACACGGTCTTTCAAAACATTAAGATGAGGTTGGATTGATGGCCAGATTATCTTACTTTATGTCTTGAACTCCCAGACACTTTCAAGTAGGGGTGGGCTCTACACTGTCTGATCATTTCAATCGAGAATTTAAATCCGCAGGGGCATCCGTCAGGGCAGCATGCTATCTGTCCCATTTATATACATCACAGTTTGTAGTCTCACAAAAGCTTGGATCACTTGTTTTCATGGTCCCATTTCATAGATGATTCTAAAATTTCTTATTGCAGTAAGAATATGCATGCGATAAAAAGAGAGGTACGAACTAGGTGTTGACTTCAAACTTCAAAAATGGGCCCGTCAAGTGGGGTTTGGCTCGGTCCGCTCCCAATCGCTTGTAATGGTCATTTATACCTCTATAAGCTGGATTATGTTTCCAATATCGATGGTGGAGCCTGAAAAAGCAACTTACAAATATAAGACTCCATACGCCATCAAGGCCGAAGTCACTGTCGTGGAGCCTTTAGGACCTCTCCCCTTGACAGGCTGTATGTGAAAGCTGACGAACTTTTACCCAAACATCGAACTGCAGTCAACTGCACTCAAAGTCAAAGATATTTAATGCATTTAGGGCCTCTTTAACGGGTATCTGCCACACCCTCCATGGACCATACAATTGGGTGTTGATGGGTGTAAGAATGTTTTACAGACCCGTGAAGATCCGGGGTACAATAGGTCTTCAGCAACCCATACTTGCCGTATAAGGCGACTATGCTTGTCGTAAAAGGCGACTTACGGGATCGGGTGGTCAGGCTCGCTGACTTCGTTGATACATGTCATCAATCCCAATTGCGTGGATCGATACTCATGATGTCAATCACTGGATTGTCTGGTCTAGACTCGATTATTTCACAGACCGCCGTCATATAGCTGTAATATTGCAAAATGCGGCGTCAAACAACAAACAAACAAAGCTTTTCGAGACAATCGTTTCGCTGAAATCCCCATACTTCTGATCACATAACAGGCTTGGTTGGATTTAGGCATTCAAAAATTTAAATAATACATTCGGTGTAAAATTTCCCTCTTTCGGCGAGACAGACATTACATGAATTAATGCCTTCTTTGCACACGATGTTAAATCCGAAACACTTTTCTTGAAGTTCATTGTATTGGTAAACAGTACACGCAGAATAATGACACATTTACCATATTTCATTCAATGTCACCTGACCCCCTCTTCCTATGTTTATTTGTCAATATTTCCATAAATATTTCCTGGTCACAGATGTACGCTATGGAGATTAATCAAACGAGTTTATAAATTCGAGGGAATAGTTCACAGTACAAGCGGCTCATATAACTATTCGAACAGTTTACCTAAATTCTCATCTTATTTCAGATAGTATGTCTTTAGAATGTAGCATCCACCAAATCTATTGTGAGATGCATCAAAACACGGAACTTGATATATGTGGTGTTAATAGTTTTGTCATAGTATCATTACTGAAAATACAAGTGTATTATGACGGCGCAATATGTTGTACTTTCAGTCGTGATGATCCTTGCTGTGATCAGGGATGTCAAAGCTGCCAACTGTGTTGACGACGCCGCTTGTGGCGCCCACGGTACCTGTCCTGACACTTCCGCACCATGTGTGTGTACAGACGGATACTCAGGGGATGACTGTACAACAGGTAACAACGTAACAGATTACACATTTGCACACAAAATAGGTTACAGTATGAACCATCATGTCATATTCCCATTTATGATGAAAAGCTTTCATTTATTGCAGGATTTCATGTATGTATGTTTCAATTGGAATCCTACATTGTATTTATTATATTTATACTTTGAGATTCATGATAATAATTCAAATCACTAAACAGAAATATATGATCAGTTTAATGAACATGTTCTAAAGTACTTGTACAAGGGGCTTTAAAAAATTTAACCCCCTATTCTGAACAGTATTTCACCCAACTAAGGCGTGTTAGGCGTGTTGTGGGTAATGCATCTCTCATACGTTTACCACTTTGGTGGGTCCAAAAGACCATCAATATAGTGCTGACGAAACACGGATGAAAGCAGGACAATTCCTGGATTCAAACCCTTGACACAACTCTGAACAGTTAATTGTGGCGCATTACCTGAACCGGCCACACATGCCTCACATATAAAATTGAGACAGATAAATATATTAGTACCTGAACGTATGTTCAGGAGAATCAAATCTAGTATAAGCTAGTTCTGTAAATATCAGAATGATACACACGTGGGTGCAATGGCCTGATATTGCTACAAACAATTTTACCCACTGTCTACCACAGTCGCCTGGTCTGTCTAAAACCTGTGTATGTTATATAGTTCCTTCTTTTTTAATATTTTCTCTAATCCAAACTGGATTTGAATGTGGCATGTAATTCACCGAATACAAGTCAGTTGACCCAAGTTATAGCATGTGTGTCACTTTCTCGACTCGCAGCTAAGATGGTGTTATGTGGTATGAACCTATCAAAGTGTGAAGTTATTACAAAGTTAAAACGTTTCACACATGTGCTGACGTTAAGGTACATTTACTGGATAGAGAAGCATATTCCTGATAAATATTAAAATGTATTGATGCGCATGAGAGAAAAAAATTGAGGATTCTGTTCATACTGGAAGTTCACATGATATCTTAACTGGAGTTTTAATACTCTCCAGGAATATAATAAATCATCTACATTCATGTATAAAATCTTAGATGGTTACACTAGATGAGTAAGGGAAGTTTCTTACATATATATGTCTATCACTTTAGTAAATGGACACTGGTTAGCGAGACACATACATATCAGAGTGTGTTATGATTTTAGTCTGACAGAACTTGACCAAAGCCTAACGACCAAACGCGAATGTGCTTTTTATGGGGAACACTTGCAAAAGCCAAATACGAATATATATTTTTAATGTTGATCACATTTTAAATCCAATTAAAATGATAGATATATTTTGTTTAATATCAATGTACATGATATTCATATCTGGTTAGCTGTATATTATTGCTGGTTTCGGTAACAGTGAGCCACATGTACTATAAAATAAATATATTTCCATATTTTTCCAGCACCTGTTTGCACCGCCAGTGGAAATGAATGTGGCTCCCACGGTAGCTGTGACACTAGCGGCAGGACCTATTCCTGCACCTGCACTGGTGGATACACCGGCGCCACATGTACAACCGGTACGACGTTTTTGAACATATTTCATCAACTGAAATTTGCAAAAGCAAATACGAAGACTTAACTAAGAACAGCTTAAATCCAATAAAAATTATCGATATATTTTGTGTAATGTTCCGTGTATATGATGTTCTATGTCAGCTGTATATTATTGCTGGTAACGATAGCAGTGAGCCCGATGTACTACAATATAAATATCTGTACAACGCGAAGTATCCTGTGAATGGATATTTCAGTAATATATTGCTAAAGCAGTAGTCAGAAACTTAAAATAATGACGTAAATTATTACTTGGATTGAAATTCATGATATCAATCACTGGATTGTCTGGTCTATACTCGATTATTTACAGACCACCGTCTTATAGCTGGATTCATATATTTTCTAATTAAAGAAGCTATAAAAGTCTAGATTAGGTAGTTGAACTATCGGTTCGTTCATTGGTTAATTGTGTGTAATGGACAACTGAAATTGTTGCCATTTTTCCAGCACCTGTTTGCACCGCCAGTGGAAATGAATGTGGGTCCCACGGTAGCTGTGACACTACCGGTGTCACGAAATATATTCGCCCCCAGAATAAAATCTCCCCTCGGCGAATTTATACCGGTACAGTTCCGCCCCTCTCGAAATAAACTCTCCCCCACCCTACGAAATAAAATCTCCCCCCAGAATATTTCCTCCCCCGGTCGTTTTATAAATACTTGCCATGCAGTTCAATAGTTGATGTTATTTTGGGTTAGGTAATGTTGTAATCTATTTTTAGCCATTGATTCCATTACTTTGCATAAGTTTGAAGTTAGGGATATTAGTTTATATGAGTTAGCTTGATTAGCTGGTTTATTAGGTTTAGGGATTGGTATGACTAGGGCCTGTTTCCAGGGAGTAGGAACCTGTCCGTTTAGGTAGATGAGATTGTATAGTTTGAGTAGTGCCTGGAGTAGTTTTAGCTGGAGATTTTTAATTATTTGGTAAGAAGTTAGGTCTAATGCTGGGGCTGTGCCCTTTTTCCTGTTTTGGATTACATAGAGGAGCTCCTCCATTGTGAAGGGTTGGTTTATTTCTAGATTGTTATTGTTTGGTTCTTTTGTGGGTTTGTTTTTTGTTTTAAGTTTATCTTGGAATTTTTGGCTGAAGTTGGTGTTACTGCTAACGGCCGAAAAGTGGTTGGCGAGATTATTTGCTTTTTGGGCGGGGTTGGTTGAGTTGTTAATGTTAGGTTTTTTTATGTCGTTTTAAGCCTCTAATGGCGTGGATTTAGCGCCAGACCGTTCTGGCATCTGTACGGTTATTTATACCTTGGTTAGTTGGACTAGTTTTTTAACCTGGTGGTTCAGTTCGTGGACTATGTTTAGATGTTTGTAGTCGCGTTTTGCTTTATTGAAGGCTGATTTACGTTTTCGTCTAGTCTGTTCTATTTCTTCATTCCACCATGGTACCGTGGGTTTGCCTAGCCTGTCTTAGATGTTTTGAAGGGGGTGGAGGTTTTGGCTGCGTTTATTATATAGTCTGTTAGGTTTCTACAATAGGTTTCTGGATCATTATTTTCTATTTCGTTTAAGTTAGCTTCGTTGCAGATATCTTGGAATTGGTCCCAGTTAGCTTTATTGTAATGGAATTTTGGTTCTTGGTTTTCTGTTTGGATTGGTACGTTTGTATTTCCTATGGTTATGTTTATGGGGAAGTGGTCACTACCTAGCGGGACGTCGTGAACTTCCCATAGAGTACTTTGAGCTAGATCTGCGGTGCATATGGTTAGGTCGATAGCCGACATTTTTTGGTTTATCTTATCGTACCTCGTGGGTTGGTTGTTATTTAGGAGTACTAGGTCGTTTGTTTCTATCCATTCGGAAATTAATTTGCCATGATTATCTATTTTATCATCTATGCTCCATGTAGGATGGTGAGCGTTAAAGTTTCCTAGGAATATAGTAGATTTATCGCTTATTTTGAGTAGTTTGTTTAGATCCTCAGGTTGGACTTTTGTTCCGCCCAGTGGTATATATTTATGATGTTTATTTTTCGGTTATATAATGTGATTTTAATGCCCTTGGCTTCTAGGTTTGGCGTGTCTATTTTTATTTCTTCGTAATTTATATCTTCCCTGATAAATATGATTAGTCCTCCTGCGGCTCTTCTTGTTTTTGGTTTAGCTCTGTCAGTTCTAACGGAGTTGTAGTTAGGTAGTGTGAATTTGGATTTTTTTGAGAATTTGGTTTCCTGGATACAAGCAATGTGAGGGCCTTTATTTAGTTTAAATTTAGTTTTTAGTTCATGGCCGTGGGAGGTGAGTCCGTTGGCGTTCCACTGAAAAATATTTAGTCCTTCCATTATTGGGTTCGGGTGATTGGTGATTGGTGATTTAGTTTTTAGTTTTTAGTTTTTAGTGAAAATATTTAGTCCTTCCATTATTGGGTTCGGGTGATTGGTGATTGGTGATTTAGTTTTTAGTTTTTAGTTTTTAGTTTTTAGTTTATTCGGTGACTTCTTTTAGATGGAGGTTAAAGAGAAAGAAGGGAAGATGGGTTAATTTTAGATTGATAGCTACTTTGTGGAAGGATTTCATGCTAGCTTTTGGTGAGTTTTGACTATGCATGTATACTAGAAGTAAGGTTGGGTTATTTAGGTTTTCGGTGTTAGCTGGTTGGGGAGTTTTGCGGTTTAGTTTTTTCTTCCTTTTTGTAGCTGAGAGGGAAGTTTGGTTTGTTTTAGTTGGAGTAGTGTCTATTGTTTCCTCAGTAGTGGAGGAAATCTTCGTCATCGGTTAGATTAGGTTTAGCTGTTTGAGTTTCCATAGGGGAGGCATGTGATGTGGAGGGTTGTGTAGGTGTTTGCGGGATGGGTGTAGCTGTGGATTTCTTAGTGTTTGTGTTTTGTTGTTGTGCTTGCTTGTAGGGGAGTGTTGTTGCCATGTGGGCTGTAGGGTGCTTGGATGAGGGTCGTGTTGTGGCGGTCGTTTTGTGGCAGTATCCTCAGCCCCACCCTCTTCAATATAATGATAAACGATCTATTCGATGGCCTATCCCCTAAACTAAACATATCAAAAGTCGCGGATGATCCGCACTAAAAGCATTAAAAGCATTAAAATGGCCCAAAATTTACTCCAAAAATCTCTAAATAAAATACAACAATGGGCTGACAGATGGGGCTTCTCCCTTAACTCAGAAAAAACAACAGGAATAGTATTCAAACTCCCAAGTTAGAGCCAGTTAGGCATCTTAGGGTGTTTAGGTCTTTACTGCATTTAGTTGTTAGGTTTTGGATGTGAGCATCCCAGGTGAGATGTTCATCGAAAATAAGTCCTAAGAATTTGGTTTGTTTTTGAAATTTGATTGTTTGGTTGTTTAGCTGGCTTCGGATAGAGACGATGTTTAGTTTATATGCTAGTCGTTAGGTATAAAGATTGTTTAGTAACTTTAGAAGTTCTAGGACAGTTATTAACACGTGTCGTGTCAGCCCTATGGCATTCACGATTGTCCACTTCCAGAAAACATCCTGTGTTGGTTTAACATGAATTAGTAAAGGTTAATTAGGGATGTCCAACACGTTAATTAATGTCAAAACACTGTCATTTCCTGCCCATGATATCACACCCCTACACGCTAAGGTCGGTGAGAAACATTCTCATCAAAGAAAACACACAGTCAAGACTGTAGATTTCCGTCGTCTAGCTACAAATCCTGTGATGTATTAAAGGTTGAAGAATTTTGAACTGAACTGTCCGAAAGTTTATATCTAAAATTTTGGGATTGGATACAGTGATAAAGTCTTATGTCAATATGTAGATTCATAAATATTGGTTTTATGTTTTAACGGAGATATGATGTTTTCTTATGAAATATCGTGTATTAGTGTAATTTGCATGCTTTACCATTCATTGTACCGTTCTAAACCATGTGAATGTTGTAATACCAGTCAATCGGGTGGGAAAACAGCCCAATCCTCGCTCTATAAAGGGGTATATCAATCATTTTGCAAGTTGAAATGACCCCTGATACTTTATGAATACTTTATGACAGTTTATGGAGTCAAAATCAATGCTGATTATTCATAAACTTAATGCTTCGTTCTATAGGCCTGTGGCCTCTTCAGTGCTGAATAAAAATTGAAAATACATCAGTCAATCAAAGATGAAGGTAACTTTATACATCAGAGTTCTTGAGAATTAGTTCATGTTTTGTTCTTAGACTTACATTTCAACCATCGATTGTGTTCACATTTAGACTCAAACTGGTATATTAAAAAATGTATACAGACAACAAAAACTGTATTAGAAACAACAAACTCTGTAAACTTTTAAGCATAGTTTTGGTATAGCATTTCAAAAGCCTGGTTTGTTTGCATTAAAATCAAAACAAAGGAATCTGTAATTAAAATGTGTAAGGTGAAAAGCTTTTACATAAAAGAGCAAAATACATGGGGGAGAGTAAATATATAATTCTATATAACTTTTCTTGAATGGAGCACATTTGAAAAAAAAGATAATCCAAGCATATTCGATATTACTGTGTTTAAAGAATTTATATCAGTCATATATTTCTAACTTAGATCACCCGTATGTAATCCAGGTAAAGCATGCATAACGGGGAACATTGTAATGTTGGTACAGTTTATCGTGTCTTCGTGCTTTAGCATTACACATTTTCATATTCCTCTAGGTTTTAATGTTTATTTGTTTTTGTATTTTTTATTTATTTTTTTCTCTCCTTTATTTTTTCTGGGTTATATATTAATCTAAACATACATTTAGTTACTTGTGTGTGTGTGTGTTTGTTTGTTTTTATTTGTTGATTTTTATTTTTATGGATTATGCGGGGGGGGGGGGGGGGGGTTCTTTTCGGGTGTGGGAGGGGGGAGCGGGGGGGGGGGGGGGGGGGCACTTTTCCTTTCGTTTTTCATAATCATATTTTTTTTAAGTTGTATATAACGTATGAATCCCTTCTCAGATTCACCGCCAGCCCGATTGTAACAATTACATGATCACTTTGCTTTGTCGATGCCGGTTGATGTTGTTCAATCCAGGCTGATAGTGGGTGTTTTTGCATCTATTCTACATGCTAATCATTTCGGGAAGATGATACACATTTCTCTATATTTTGGGTTACTTTGCTTATATAATTTCCGATTATCATTCTTAGTTTTACTTTTTCTCTTCTGTTGCAATGATATCCATCCGAATCCAGGACCTTTGCATAGTCCAGATTTAAAGATTATATATCTAAACGTACGCAGTCTTAAAGACAAAGTAGATTTTATCAGTGCTGAATTAGATAGTTATGATGTTGTATGTTTAACAGAAACCTGCTTGCACCATGATATTCTAGCAACTGATATTACACTGATACCATTTTCATATCGTATACGTAGCCTGTATTAAGGAATATATTTTAGATCTAAAATCAGAGTATTAACGGACAGCCTGGGCTGGAGGCGCGCGTGGATATATTGACAGTTTTTACGTAGTTAGTGTTAAAACCGAATGTTTGCGAGGATTAATAAGATTTCTGAATTCTGTTACAACAGTAACCGTACATGTATTTGTTACATTAAGTCATTTCATTCAAATTTGTTTGGTATGATTATGTCTTTTAATTATTTTAGGATGGAAGGTACAGTTACCAAATAAAATATGCTGAAATATCAATTCATTATGACCATATTTCAAAATCTATTTTTTAAAGTAACCCTCCTTACATTAAAGATAACTCTTTAAAGAATATAGTACTTAAAGACATTGCAACAAACCGAATAATCAGGGGGAGACTTTATACTGAGGGGGGCGCGAAACATATCCGCCCGGGGGAGATTTTATTTCAGAACAGATTCTCCGGGGGAGAATCTGTACCGGTATAAAATCTCCGGGGGGAGAATTTGTACGGGGGAGAGTTTATACCGGGACACCGGCACTATCTATTCCTGCACCTGCACTGATGGATACACCGGCGCCACGTGTACAACCGGTACGACGTTTTTGAACATATTTCATCAATTGAAATTTGCAAAAGCAAAATACGAAGACTTAACTAAGAACAGTTTAAATCCAATTTCAAAGATTGATATATTTTGTTTAATATTTAATGTATACGATATTCATATTGCTGGTTTCGGTAACAGTGAGCCACATGTACTATAAAATAAATATCTGTACAGTTATGCGAAGTATCCCGTTAATGGATATTTTAGTAATATATTGTTAGAGCCGTAGTCGAAAACTTTATATAATGACGTAAAGTCGCTACACTTATAGATCTTTGTCTTTGTGAATACTATCTAGCATCATTATAATATCACACATCATCTACTTCAGTTGTTAAACAACAAACCAACCTTGATGTAAAATGCCATGTTATTTCATCAGTATCATCGTTATCTGCATTAAGAAATAATGCTAACATTACTTGGTCTTGTATCATCTCTATGTTTACATTCGTTTCAACATAAGAAAAAACATCTCACTATGAAAGTCCACATTCACAGATGACACAGTGACAGAAATCATTTGCAAAAGTGACATTCTTAAACATTTTATTTCTGGGTCCAATTCTTATTACATACTATATTTCTTCTTTCAATTCTTGATATAACAAGCATCACGTCAGAATATTAGCTGGAATTGTGTACACAAATCGAAAGAAGTCCTCTTGGCTAATCCTCGCCTAACCATCTCCGCATTGCAACTCGCGTGTCATAATGGTCTTCATGTAGCCCATCCTGTTTTCAGTAAGGCTTTAGATAAGCCTTGAAACTGGTATTGACTGACTACTAGCATCATTTAAAAAAACAATTAAAATGATACAATACCACCCTCCATATCTATTGGTGAACAACTATATGCATTGTTTAACAGTGTATGAAGACACATATCTTATGACGAAATCTCAATTTTAGAAACACATTTAGGAACACATTTTTCTCCAGTAGTAGGATTGTTCGCTACAAATGGTAAGTGATCAGATATATCGTTCGCTACAAATGGTAAGTGATCAGATATATCGTTCGCTACAAATGGTAAGTGATCAGATATATCGTAACTAGTGAACAGCACTTCACCGGCACTGGCGTTACTCTGCAAATGGGAGGGAATCATGATATAATCAATAAGACTCTTGTTTATGTCATCTTTGTTTCCGAAGTTATTGTCTTGATAGATATGTACAAATGCCAGCCTTGCTGGGCACTTTGCACTGTAACACATGATCCTGAATACCTCCTTCACTGAGATGAAATACTGGCAGATAGCCGATATACTGTGCGTAGTTTTTCAGAATACTCAGAGGTATTCCATCGATAAATTATTTTAAGCATCAAATTTAGAGCATATCGTTTTTATTACAAATCTTCATTTTGTTATAGAATGTTTAAGAAAGGGACAACATTGCTAAACGATCACAAATATAAACATGTTTTAGTATAATACGTGTACTTAAGACTGATAAGATGTAAATTGCTAAACAAAGAATAAGGCAGTGTCATTCAATGTGGTCAAAATAGTACAGAAACACTGCACTCCGTAATTACTATAACATAAAGACGTACATTTCCTCAACCGCAATTTCACCCATTTGATTAGTGAGTAATGTAGAACATTGGCTAATATCGTTACTTACCTCAATAAATATTGAACCCTTGAAGATCCGGGGTAGATAAAGTCTTCAGCAATTCATGCTTGCCGTAAAAGGCGACTATACATGTCGAAAGAGGCGACTAACGGGATCGGGTGGTCAGGCTCTCTGACTTAGTTGATGTATGTCATCGATCCCAAGTGCGTGGATCGATGTTCATGATGTAAATCACTGGATTGTCTGGTCCAGACTCCATTATTTACAGACCGCCGATAGCTAGAATATTGCTGAGTGCGGCGTAAAACAACAAACCAAACTAAAACCAATTACTATAATTTAAATATCAGTAGAATGCGAAGTATCCTGTAAATTGATTTTTTAGTAATATATTCTTAAAGCCGTTGTCGAAAACTGTAAATTATGTCGTAAAGTCGCCATAAACTTAGAGCTATTTCTGAATACTATCACACGTCTTCATATTGTCACATTGTCACTTGAGGTCATACATCTACTACTTTTCAGCACCGTGTACTAGCGGGGGTAGTGAGTGTGGCACTCACGGAACCTGCAATACAGATGGCACCACTGTAAAGTGTGATTGCACACCTGGCTATACCGGGACACTTTGTGCACAACGAATGTATGCATTATATGTCCTTTTCTTATATTCCCAATGCAAATATACTTTATCTACAATGCAGACTTAAACCTATTGTAGATAGAACAAATGAAAGAAGAAATAACTGTCGTTCGGTCGTTGCTGTTTAAAGAAAGAAACGGTTTATCAAATGGTGGTTTGTGAACCTCACTACAGTACACATGGCCAATAATCGGTCAAAGCAAGATACATACCAGTGAAAGAAGTGACTTTGTTTCATTTCAGACTCTGATACCCTAAAAAGCAGCTTTAGATTGTATAACATCTGATAATATGTGTTACTGTGAACTAACGAGCATAGGGATTTGCGGGATCAATACGTTTTATGACAGCAAGTAGCTGCAGTAATTGTAGCCCATTATTTTGTTGGATACATTCACAATGTATTGTCAAATATACTTGCAACTTCTTTTCTTGTCTTTGCAGAATCAGGAGGAAACCGTGTTACTTTTCTTGCACAACTTCTGCTGATTCCCATAGTCCTTTCTCGCTACATGCAGTAACAACTTTCCCCTCATGACAACAGAATGAAGACAATTCGCTCCGTTTGATACATTATTAATCACTTTCGAGTTCCTGCTCTACTATCAAAGAGAATGTTTGTAAAAACAACATCTTCGTGTGTAATCATAATTATAATCCTTTGTATGAAAATCCTTAGCTCTGAAATATACAAGCGTGGTATATGAAGGATTGAAGTGTCCAAATGACTACAGAACAAATGCTTATCACTGCTTGAAATTAGTACCAATAGTCACAATTCCATTCTTATTTTTAAAAGCTCCAAGATGGTGTTTATTGTAACACTATCGTTTTTCGACAGATATCATATTTTATTAGGTCAAAGACACTTGCACGCTTCAATTCTCGTGTTCTTTACCTAGATTACATGTTGAGCTCCTGACTGATGTCAGTTGTTCCGTCGAAATAAACGGTTCAGTTCACGGCAACTCTTCGTCTACTTTGCTCAAATATACATTAAATTGTGTGTATTTGATTTATTTGTATAAATTATTTGTTTTTATCTGACCCTATGTGATTTGCTTCAAAATGGTATCAACGTTAGATTTTAGACGTAATCGTTGCATGATTATTTGCGGATTTAATTTAACAGTTGTACTGCATGAATGTTTTTATGTAATGTCTGAGCGGAATGTAAATGCTATTTTATCTGTATGTACACAAGAACTTCCTAAACAGTGGGATGACTATTCATAAACACATAATCATACTTTTATCGGAATCGTACAATCGACCATGCTTTTTGCAGAGATATCTTATTTATTAAAAATCTCAATAGCAACTGTTACAATGTGCTACAAGAACAGAGGCGAAAGAAATGTTTTCCTAAATAGTGAATACATCATATTAATGAAATCCAAACCTGTCTAAATACGGCATGTTCAAATAAATATTGTATATGTATTTTAAGTGTCTCGGAAGGATTTTAACGCTCGGAAGTTTTTTTTATCAAGGTTACAACATTCAAGGGCTCAGTGAAGCTTTCAAAACGTTTTAAAGTATACATCGCTTGTTAGATACGTTTTGAAACAACTCGTTGTAAGATAAATGGTGCCTGACAGACACTCGTGAAGTAATCTCTATATCCGTGATAAGATATATGTGGTAAAGGAGGTAACAGAAATGAGTGAGTTCACCTTCGTCTATTGTAACAATGATAATTCCGCCAAGCACAGTGGTTATCAAGTTGGCATCGATATATCCACACGCCACCACTCCTTACTTCGCGTGCTTGAAGGGGAAGACAGCATTGGCCTGTGATGGTTCCACCACTGTAGTAGCTCTGGCTACTGGCGTAGAGACCAAGATAACAAATCTGAGAAGCTCAGCCTATGGTATGTTACTCTTTCACCACACTTTTGAAAATACTTGTATGTTTGTTTTTCAAGACCTACAATTGTTGTCACATACTTTTGGCGGCACAAATAAGCTTCCCTGAGGAGTTGTCAAAATATGATCGTTTCCAACGTACTTATATTATTTCTTTTCCAACAGTGTACTGACTACACTTAAGACTTGCCTCTCTGCCATCACCACCATTACCGAGCCAGGGTGTACTGCCACAACCCAGGCAGCTCTTCTGACTGACACTAACACCACAACAACCAGCGCCATGTGTAAGTATTGTTGTCCCTCAGACCACTGAAATGAGTGTGTGTGAACATCACTACTATAACCCTACGCTTTGCCGCATTATATCCTCGTTCAGCCATCATGCTCGTACGGCATTTCATGTGTTGAAACAAACCAAATCACTAATATAACTTCTGTAGAAATATGAGACTTATACACACAATATACATGATATTCCTAGAGCAAGTTTATGCCTACATGACGTACAAAGTCATATTCAGTATTAAATTAAGGATGCTGAGGACCGGCTCATATTATGTATTATATTTATGTCATGACCTATTGTTGTTCCGTTACAGGTGTGAGTGTTGCGGATCGCGTGACGTTTGCGATGACGTCACTGGTCGTTACAGTTCTTGTAAACATGTTCCTGTACATGTAGTGGCCCTCAATGTTGACACTTCCAAACTCCTGGCATCTTTGGTTCCGGTTGTGATAACTCTACGGCTTATATGCTGTTGTTCCGATCGTGCAAATCTGTAGGATACTCACATTACTCAACCAACGTGTTCCGTAGCCGAATGACGTGTTGAGTTAATCCTTGTTGGTTGTTCCACCGAAATAAACGGTACTGTTCACGAAGTCTACTTGTATGTTTGTTTTTCAAGACCTACAATTGTTGTTACATACTTTTTGTGGCACGAGTAAGCCAGTCGCCCGGGCCGAGGCGCCACAATTCGTTGTGGATAGTCGCTTCCCTGAGGTGTTGTAGAGTCATAAGATATAAGGCTTCGAATCTCTGATTTGCAATGATAATGGTTCTTTGTTTGTCACTACCATACATGTGTTCATGGGTTTTGCCCAGTAGTGAAACGTCTAGTCAGTGAGGTAGCCTAGTGGTTAAAGCGTTCGCTCGTCACGCCGAAGACCCGGGTTCGATTCCCGACATGGGTACAATATGTGAAGCCCATTTCTGGTGTCCCCCGCCGTGATATTGCTGGAATATTGCTAAGAGCGGCGTAAAACCAAACTCCCTCACTCACTCTAGTCAGTGAATACTAACTGTTATCCCTGATCAGCACATACAAATATCCAAAATCATTTCAGGAAACATTGCATCAGAATCATTATCATTATCTTGTTAATGTCCATGCTTCTAGTGGCGTCATCCATTTGTGTTTCGCTCTATTTTTTGTAACAATGTGACGAAAACTTCTTGTTATAAACCTATGCCTGGTTCCAGTCAAAAATAGATCGGTTTTTCATCTGAAGTAACAGTGTCAGTATTTTCCATATTATAACACTCGTGGTAAAACCCTTTATGTAAAGGATATTAGAAATGGGCAATAAATTACAGTAACATGTACCTGCAAACTGTAAATTAAAATACAGATACACATACGCACGTACACAGGTGCTTGAGGGATATCCATGTACAGTTGCAAAACACATTTGCGTACTTGAGCTAAGGTAACTTGTTCACAAGTAATAAAAATATATACTATACCTCTGCTTTAGGTTTACATCATGATTTGGTTTGGAATGATAAAATAACAGAAATGAAATATGGAACACGCCTCCAAAGACATTAAATTTAACATTACTTGCAAACTTGAATGAGTAATATTCAACTTGGATTCAACTTGGATGACAAAACTATCAAATCAGTATTACACGCTAGCCGTGTTCAAAATGTTCTCAAATATGCGTTACATGATGGTTGGTTTGTTGTTTAACGCCGCACTCAGCAATATGCAAGCTATATATATGACGTCGGTCTGTAAATAATCGATTCTGGACCAGACAATCCATTGAACTGATATCATGAGCATCGATCCACGCAATTGGGATCGATGACATGCATCAACCAAGTCAGTGAGCCTGACCACCCGATCCCGTTAGTCACCTTTTACTGAAGGGATGACCTGAATAATGGCAGTGACGTCACTGCTAACTCAAGATCAGTTTATGACGTCCCATTACAATTCTTGAAAGTCTATTTTACACAGTGTTTACACAATGATAATAGCAACTTAATTTAGTACTAATAATCACCTTCGTAGTCTTCAGGACACGATGAACCATGTGATCATTCCATACTCGTGTCAGTTAACTCTACAAGGTGCATATGAAAGCTTAAATATAAAACAACAACGTCAATAAATATATAAGATGCACTTTTGGCGTAAAATGAAAATGATATAAATGGAATATTCATACTGATATTCACTGATGACACCAGGTTTTCGCAAAATGGGTTAGCATGACCCGCCCGACCGAAAGCACCCGCAATTCCCACAATTGTCAAACAAAAAGTAAGTGATTGTCACACAAGTCAAACAATAAAGTGGCACCGTAACCTTTTTACTGATTTCTTAAAACTAAAAACATATGCTGTGGACAAGTGCAGCGTAAAGAGAAAGTAAAGAGACACGTTCATGAAATATGTTCGTTTTGCAACACAGTGGGAACAGTTTTATTGCCTCGGCCCAAACACACATTAATAAATGACTCCGCAGAATTGACAAGTGCTACTGACCTTATCATAAAACTTGTGGTCGAAAAGCAAAAACATTAAACGTAAGTTTGATCCAATGCACAATCTCCCTCAACATTACATCAAAGTATTTTTCACAACGATGGCAGGGCTTGTAAAAGGGATCATTTCCCAGCGTTACTTTCATACGTGTATCTTTCACCGTTAGTGTTGAATCGAGAATAACACCAGGATACACAAGAAGGGCTACTATCAAACAATCTGGTCGTTTGGCATGTGAGCACACTATTATTCTGAAGAGACAAATAATAATACCATGTAATCTCTCTGATCTGTAGTGCACTACAATATTCCTTGTTATCATGAGACGTCCCAGAATGCGTATCACCTGTTCAGCAAGAGCGACTTAGAACTGATAATCTTAGAAAATTTGACACGTATTGTCTTCGCTGCAATTATGCATATTCTTTCGTGCATGAAGTAATAAATACTGTCAGTTTTCCCAGAACACAATACTGTTTGTATGGTTTAGGGATTAAGTGACAGTGCCTCCTTTGAAATAGCTTTATGTCGGATGGTCTCCTTTGCATGTTGCTATACAGTATTTGTTGTTGTGTTTGATATGTTTCATTACATATGCTTTGATCACAATACATGATACCGCCAATGCTCGAGCTCACCTTCACATGTGCTTAAACCTGTTAATACAAACGACAAACCTATTTCCTTTATTACAAGAAAAGTACAAACACACGCAACACAATTCAAGCGTTCACATTAAAAAGTCAAAATTGGGAATTAAATAATGGAACAATAAATTCGAAACTTATGCTTTAAATTTGGAAATTACATGTGCATGTGCAGGTGCTGCTCTACATGTAGCACCCACTCATCACAAAATTGGCATTAAAAATTTAAGTGTGTGTTTGTTGCCTAACGCCGAACCCTGCAATTATCCTGCCGTATGCCGGGGGCCTGTAAGAATTGAGTCAAGACAATTGTTATATGGCAGTGTATTATATTGTTTAACTGTGTTACATTGTTTCTGTTGAGATTCGATAGACGCTCATTGCATTGTTCTTGGACAGGGATAAGTTGTCAGGAATGTAGTACTGTTTTATGTAAGTAGTTTTGAGGAAGTGACAATGACTAGATGGTAATGTGGTGTGTAAACTTCCGGTATACCGTGATGTTGAATATCCTGTAATCTTCTATTGCCGCTAGACTAGCGAGGATACTGTGTTGAAAGTTTCATAGCTAGCAAGACTATATTTAAGGAGACAAGAGGTGCCGTTAGACTGGCGAGGACACTGCGTGAAAAGTTTCAGTAGCTAGCAAGACTGTATGTAAGGAGACAAA